AAATGATAAATTAAACCGACCGCGGTAACGCTCGGCCGCAAAACAAGGCGGGTTAAGCTGCGGAATTATGAAAGTTCCAAGACTAATTGTGAAACTTTTCGCGATGTACAAAATTGCCGCAGACTCGCGCGGGACGCCAAGAGACGGGTCAGTCCTTTCGTCCTTCACCGCTCGAGGTGAAGTGCCACGAGATGGGCGCCGACTTGACGAGATAAAGAGAGCTTTTCCCTGGCATTCGGGGAAAGAGGCGGGGCGGGGAGAGTGGATAAAGGGGATGGAGTCGCAGTTTCGACCTCTTGAGTTCTCCATTCGTCTGGATTCCGCACGAAAGAAAAGGGAACTGAATCGCGCGTTTGTCCGAAGTTACTGCCGAGTAAATTGCGCCCAAGTCAATTTGCCGTGATTTAACTTGAATTTATTACCGCAAACTAATGAAAGAGTGCATAAAGAGTGTCTGAACTGTGCAGAAATTAAAACAGGGATTTAAAACGTCGAAAGCTTACATGTCTGGGAGGCCGTCGCGCGACTTCGCCTCTGGAGTACGAAAATTTTCCTAATCTAAATTATTCCCGTGACAAGCGGTATTTAGTGATTATTAAGCGCATAATAAAAATTTCGCCTTCAAGACGGGGCTGCTGCGACATTATTTATCTCCCATCTATTCGAGTAAATAATTTTTAGCTCACGTTTTGAGTTATAAATCGATGCAGTCTGCAGCGTCACGCGAGCATAACTATCACCGTCGTTTTCTCCGAGGGCATCACAAGTCGACGTCCTTTATTTATCGCGCGTCACGACGGCAGCGAAAGAGCGAGGGATGGGAGGAGGGGGGGGAGCAGATAGCGGAACGAGGGGAAGGATAATGTAATTCTTGACAATCTCTTTCAAGACGCGTCTCGTAAAAAGTCTTTTGCACGCGGTAATCTCGTTCGAGCTGTTTGCTCTCCAATACGTCGCTCTGGCGTAGCTAAGAAAAAAAAAGGAAGAATAAGGCGTAGCTATTCGATGAACAGTCGACGAAGAATAAAAGTAGCGGCTCGTCGACGAACGTCATCGCCAATGCCGCTTCCTCCGTTCTCGTCGCAGCTCCGCGGAAAAAACGCCTCGAGCCGAATAACATTGATCCAGGCCGTCGTGTTAACGGAGTCAACGACCTTACGACCTTTGATTATTTAGTTCGAACGGTTCCCGTGCTGGTCTCCAAGGTAATTCATCGGGGTGACTCGTGAGAGTATCCCTCATGGGAAGGAGGACTTAAAGAATAAGTACGCAGGAATATACATCATTGACAGCCAGGGAAGAACTCGTTTCGATACCTTTATTGTACAAATCTGGTTTTTTTAGAAGAAAATTTTTCGAACACTAACGAGAACTCGACTCCAAGTGGCCAGCTGAAAAATGAAATCTACATCGTCTCGTTCAGCATGTAAAGTTATGAGGAATAATTTATAAAATCTTTTTTCGAATGATTATAGATTTCTAAGATATCTCAAGTTTCGATTTTTTTTGTCAAATTTCTCTCGTGTCATATCTCATTTCGTGAACGATTTCGTGAAATCTTCTGAAAAATTGCTTAATGTATTTTATTTAATGAATTATACTTTAAGTTTCATTAAACGTTACAGACATATATCTTTTCTGGCATCATATTTTTGAATTAAATATAGAAACATGTTATAAATTTATCATAAGCAGTTATCACCGTGACGTAAGAAAGTTACATAACTACATCTTGAATATTTAATCAGTTATAAAATATTCCAGAGAAAATATGAAATAAAATATTTTCACCTAAGTTGTGAACTTATTATCCGTGATGACAGTTACATATAACATATGACAGATATACAAACTGTCAAAGTGCGCTATCTCCGCGATGATAGCCGCTCGAAGAAAACATGACGGAGGAATCAGCATCGCAGAAAAATGACAAGAATCAACTTCGATATATCAAATTCGATTATCGATTATATATTTAATATACGCTTTCCAAAAGCGGATTTGTTTAATAAATAAATCTTTGAAATTTTTTAAATCTTTAAAAGGCAGATCTTTTTTCCAGACACAAAAAAGTTTTATCGCTATCCATGAAATCTAAAATATAAATTACATAGTTATAAGTTCTATAAAATAAAATGTTAGATATTTAACACATGCTTTCTAAAATTTGTCTAACAAATAAATTTTTTATAACTTTTTATGTTGAACGAAATGACATAGAGAGAAAGATTTAATTTAAATACTTGGAATCAAATTCTCATAAGTAGAGAAACAGATCTTTTTCCAGACGCAACATCTAAAGAAGTGATTCCATTGCAACGTTACAATTTCTATAAAGGCTATAAAAAGTTATGTTTTTCTTATGATAAAAATGAGAGTTAATGATTTCTGATAAAAAGCGAGCCACTTTTTCCTTTCGACCTCATTAATTTCGATATATTCTTACCCTACCGGATACGCGAGACCTACCATCACTCGGCAGGTTCGCCGCAAAGCTTGCGTAATATTGCTACCCCATTGTGCACTATGAAACGCTCGTTTTCCGATGCGAGGGTTCGTACGCCCGCTCACCAGCGCGCGCGCGCGCGCGCACGGCTTAGCTGCGCAAATCGGATTAATTATTTCCCAGCGTGGCCGGTTGCGGCCGAAGGCGCGGCCCTTTCTTATCGCCGGGTTTAACGTAAGCACTTGGGACACACAATGATGCGCGCCGTCCTCCTATACGTGGGATGTGTTTGCCTTCGGGGTCTTCGTCGAGATCGATGGCGCCGTGCTACGACGCGCGGCGCCGATGCGACTATCCGTGTAAAGCGCTGCCACCGTGCCATCCCGCCCGCGCGCGGCAGCGCAAACATTGCGCGTCGAAATTACACATCGCGCGACATCGCAAACACGAACGCGGACGCGAAGACGACGACGACGTGAGGCTTGGCG